ATTTTTCAGGTCATGTTCACAATTTTTGAAGTGTAAGTTCCCCTTTCTAAAATGTTTTAAAGGTATATATATCCTAAGATTATTTCTCTCAAGATATCTTCTTCAAGGAACTAGTACAAATTTTTTTTTTATTGAAGTAGCATTGGTTTATCACATTATATAGGTTACAGGTGTCTAGCATTGTAAATTAACATCTGTATATATTTTATTTTGTTCACCACTAAGACTAGTTACCATCCACTGTGGTACAGTTGAACCCTTTTACCCAATTTACCATCCTTCCTCCTCCTACTATTCTGGTCACCACCATTTTGTTTGTAGAGTTTAAGAATTTGTATTTTGTTTATTGTTTCCTTATCTTCACATGAGTGAAATCATACAGTGTTTGTTTTTCACCCTCTGTATAATACCCAACAGGTCCATCCATGTTGTTGCAAATGGCAGGATTTCATAGCTGAATAGTATTACATTGTGTGTGCATCTATACATATCACTTTTCTCCAACTATGTGTTCGTTTTCAGGACTTGACTATTGTGACTAATGCTACGATGAACACATGGGTGTTCAAATTAGTGTTTTCATTCTGTTGGGGTAAATACCAGAGGCAGGAGAACTGAATCATAGATTTCTATTTTCAATTTTTTGAGGAATCTTTATTTTATTTTTAAAAAATGTTTATTTATTTATACATACAAGAACTGGAGTACAGGCCAGAGGTGTGGGTGGTGGTGGTGAGAGGATTCACCAGAGACAGAGTGGGGAGAACAGGTGGATTGACTGAAATACACTGCTGAGGGGAGCAGCAGGTGAGACAGGAGAGGTCCGCTGTGCAATGTGGGTCACCTCGGTGGCAGGGGATAGAACTCCTGCTGCAGTAGCTCTGGGTTGCTTCATAGTGCTAATGCTTAACCCCTTGCGCCACAGGGAGGCCCAAAGGAATCTTGTTTTCCATAATTGCTATAGCAATTCACATTTCCAGTACCAGTCTTCCCTTCTATCCACATGCTCTCCAACACTTGTTATTTTGTATTTTTTGGAAAATAGCCATTGTCACAGATGTGAGGTAATATCTCATTGTTGTTTTGATTTACATTTCCCTAACAAGAAGAGATGATGAATATCTTTTCATGTGCCTATTGGCCATCCAACTGTTTTCTTTGGAGAAATGCCTATTTAGGGCCTCCCCTGGTGGCGCAGCTGTTGAGCGCTGGGCTGCGAAGCTGTCTGCAGCCTCTGCAGCGCCGATTTGATCCTCGGCCACCAGCAAGGGTCCCACATGGTGCACAGACCTCTCCTGCCATACCCACTGCTCTACTCAGCAGTGTGCTTCATCAGTCTGCCTGTTCTGCTCCCCGCTCTGACTCTGGTGAATTCTCTCACCTTCCTGGGCTTCTGACTGTACCCAGTGCTTGTATAAATAAATAAATAAATCTTAAAAAAAAGAAATGACTGTTTAGTTCCTCTGCCCACTTTTAAATTGGATTTTGTTGTTTTTACTATTGGTAATGAGTTCTGTGTACATTTTGGGTGTTAATGCCTTGTTGATATATGATTTGCAAAAATCTGCTCACAGTAGGATGCCTTTTGTGTGAAGATAGTTTCTTTTGCTATGCAGAAGATTTTTAGTTTTATGTTATCCTGTTTGCTTATTTTTGGTTTTGTTTCCCTTGCCATTGGAGTCAAATTCCCAAAGACATCTGTAAGACAGAGGTCAAGGAGCATATCACCTGTGGTTTTTTCTATGTATTTTATGGCTTCAGGTCTCATATTCGAGTTTTTAATCCACTTGGAATTAATTTTTGTGTATAGTATTAGATAGTGTCTAATTTAATTTTTTTCATGTGACTATCCAGATTTCCCAATACCATTTATTGAAGTTACTTTCCTCACTCCATTGTATGTTTATGGCTCCCTTGTTATAAATTAGTTGTCCGTATGTATATGGGTTTATTTCTATGGTCTCAATTCCGTTCCATTGATCTGTGTATCTGTTTTGATTACTGTTCCTTTGTAGTGTAGTCTGAAGTAAGAAAACATGATACCTCCATTTTTGTTCTTTTTTCTTAGGACTTTTTTGGCTATTTGAGGTTGTTTATTGATACAAATAAATTTTATGATTTTTTTGGTTATATTTTTGTGAAGAAATGTCATTGGAATTTTGATAGGGATTGCATTGAATCTATATAGTACATTAACATGGGCATTTTAATGATGTCAGTTTTTTCAATCCATGAGCTCAGACCATCTTTATATTTCTTTGTGTCTTGTATTTCAACAATATCTTAAGGTTTTCAGTGTATAAATATTAAACCTCCTTTTTCAAATTCATTCCTAGGTATTTCTTTTTGATGTAATTGTGAATGGAATTGTTTTTCAGATATCTCTTTCTGCTCATTCATTCTTTTTTTTTTAAAGATTTATTTATTTATGCGTTTAAGAGCTGGGGTACAGGCCAGAGATTTGGGGGGTGAGAGGATACACCAGAGACTGAGTGGGGAACAGAACAGGCAGATTGACTGAAGTACACTGCTGAGGGGTGAGGGGAACAGTGGGCAAGTCAGGAGAGGTCTGCTGCACCATGTGGATTGCTCCCTGGCTGGCCGGGGATAGAACTTGTGCTGCAGAGGCTGCGGATTGCTTCATAGGTTGCGTCTTAACCCCTTGCGCCACCAGGGAGGCCCCTCATTCATTCTTTACATATAGAGACACAACAAATTTGTGCATATTTTGTAACATACCACTTTACCATATTCATATTATTTCTAATATTTTTAGTGGAATCTTTGAGATATACTATGTATTAAATATCATTATGTCTTCTGAAAATTGTAATAGTTTTACTTCTTCCTTTATAATTTGGATAAGATAGATTTTATTTACTTTTCTTATCTAATTGCTCTGACTAGAACTTCCAGTACTATATTGTATAGTAATTGTATGAGTGGACACCCTTAACTTGTTCCTGATCTTAAGGAAAAGTTTTCAGTTTTTCACCATTGAGTATGTTGTTGAATATGGGTATGTCAAATATGGCCTTTATTATGTTGAAGTTTATTCCTTTAATATTCATTATGTTGAGGGTTTTTACCATAAAAGGATTTTGAATCTTGTCAAGAGTTTTTCTGCTTCTGTTGAGATGGTCATTTTTGTCCTTTCTTGATGTGGTACATAACATTAATTGATTTACATATTCTAAACATTCTCTGAATCCCTGAAATCCCACTTGATCACAGTGTATGTTAAATTTAGTTTGCTACTATTTTGCTTAGATATTTGTATCTATGTTTATCAGAGATATTGGTCTGTGGTTTTCTTTTCTTGTAATATCCGTTTCTGGTTTCAGAATTAGGGAATATTGATTTTAAAGAATGTGTTTGAAATTTTCTCTACTTTTCAATTTTTCAAGAAAGTTTAAAATGAGTAGGTATTTATTCTTCTTTGAAAGTTGGCAGAAGCGCGGGTGAGGACCCACAGTCAGGCACCCCGTTTTGTATCGGGGTTGCTCTACAACACAGGCACACGCGAAAGGTTAATAAAAGGTTTATTTACAAGGGAAGGGGAAATGAGGAAATGTACAGCTCAGGGAGAAAAGTGGGAGACAAAGTTTTAAATGAGTCCTACCCGATCCGCCCATCAGGAATCCCAAAATGGCACCCTAAGAGCTGGCCACCAGCCAGGAGCCGTGAAGCCAGGAGGCGAGCGATAGCAAGCCCCCCAAGGCCCACGTGTTTGGTTTTTATACCCAACCTGGCTGCTTAACTCCACCCTCAGGTCCCAGCCACCCTCCCTTTGGTGATGGGATTTGTCTTTCCCAATGTCCTGATGGCTTTAGTCTGGAGTGGGAGTGGAGTCCACAAAGCCTGTATGGGATTAGCTCAGGACATCCTTTCCCCCTAACAGGTTTACAATACTATATATGATTCAGATGTTTATTACCAGATCACACTCACCACTACGATACCCGAACTCCTCCACCACAGTCTATTTATTTTGCTTATATTTTCAAAGAACCAGCTGTTGCTTTTTTTTTTTTTTAATAGAGGCATGTTTTATTAATTAATTAATTAGTTTGTTTGTTTTCGTTTTATACATGCACTGGGTACAGTCAGAAGCGCGGGAGGGTGAGAGAATTCACCAGAGCCAGAGCGGGGAGCAGAGCAGGCAGAAGGACCGAAGTACACTGCTCAGGGGAGCAGCGGGCGGCAGGAGAGGTCTGCGCGCCATGTGGGATCCTCCTCCAGTGGCCGGGGAGCAGCCGGGGATCGAACCGGCGCTGCAGAGGCCGCGGGCAGCTTCGCAACCAGCGCTCAACCGCTGTGCCACCGGGGAGGCCCCCAGCTGTTGCTTTTCATTGATCTTTTGTATTGCTTTTAAAAGTCACTATTTTGTTTATTTCTGCTCTAACTTTTATATTTCTTCCCTTCCATAAACTTCTATTTTAGTACTACATTTGTTGCATCCTGCCGGTTCTGGTAACTTCTTTGTTTTCTTTTGTCACCAGGTTTTTAGAAGTGTCTCCTTTAATTTCCTATTGATCCAATAGTTGTTTAATAGCATGTTGCTTAGTCTCCAAATATTTGTCCCCAAATGTTATTCATTGAAACAATGAAAGACACTGTCTTTTATTTCCGTGTTTCATTTGTATGGTATAGTGCCTGCTATAAGCAGGTGTTAAACAAATATTTGCTAATGAATGAATCAATCATAATTTCTCTCCTACACCAGACTAGCAGTGGAAAAGAGAACTTGTTCCTAACATTCCCCCAAGTTCTAAGACATTAGGTAAAATAAATGAGAAGTGGGAAATTACTGGTCAGAATTTCCGTTTAATTCAGCACCTATGTTCCTTTGTCTTGATAAATATACGAGGTAGCCACTTAGTTCATGAAGGCATTTTGAATGTTTTGGAGTACATGTACTAAATAAAGCTAAGATGTGCTAAAGAAACCTTTTATTCTGCTATTTTGAACACATTTTAATTTAAGAAGTCATTCAATTGTCAGTTGAAATACTTTATTTCTTAAAGGTGTTTTTTTTCTTAAATTAAATCAAATCCTTTTATTTTCCAAATTAGGTACTATAGCCTTAGATATTTAAAGCTCATTTTCATGGCTATATTTTCTCTTAAATGTACAAAGGGATATATTTTCATAGAGTGTGCTGGAAATTGGGAAAATCAAGGGTTCTGCTTCTGTCAGGTGCAGTATTTAGAGTGTTATTTTGATATAATCCAGTGGCTCTGATATGGCTTGAAAATATTTGTTCCTTTGGAGTATAATTGCAGGGAAAGAACTGTGGCATAGGTAAAAATTCACCATAATTACTTGAATTGGTTTTATACATAATCATCTTTGGTTTGGATAGTGAGGTAGCCGTACTGAGTGTCTTTGGGTCCAACATACATGAAAACACAGGATTGCCAGGGTTTACACAAGGAGGCGTTTGCTCAGATTTCATCTCTGTGTCTGAGTTTGAAGCTGAAGTATTTTTCTTGTCCTGTTAAAACATAAACACATCAAATCAGTCTCAATTATAAAATTCTGAAAAAAACCTAAATTGCTTTCCTAATCTCTCATCTCACACCACTCACAAAAATTAATTTAAAGTGAATTGAAAGCTTAAATGTAATACCTGAAATTGCAAACCTCCTAAGGGAAAAAAAATATAACACAGGAAAATAGCTCCTTGATATTGGTCTTGGCAACTATTTTCTGGATGTGACACCAAAAACACAAGTAACAAAAGCAGTAATAAACAATTGGGACTACATTAAATGGAGAAGTTCCTGTAGAGTAAAAGAAACTACCAACAGAATAAAGAGACAACCTATGAAACAGGAGCAAATGTTTGCAAACCATGTATCTGATAAGGGGTTAATTTTTTTTAAAATATCCAATGAGTTTATTTAACTCAATAGCAGAATCTCATACAATTTTGATTAAAAATTGAATAGACATTTTTCCAAAGACATGCAGGTGACCTTCAGGTACTTGGGAAGGTGCTCAAGGAACTGCAAATCAAATCACTCAAGTTTGAACAGTTGTTATCAAAAATATATTCAGAGAAGATAATAAGTGCTGGTGAGGGTATGGAGAAAAGGGTACCTTTGTGCAATATTAAAACAGCCAATATGGAAAATAGTACAAAGCTTAAAAAAATTCATCAGAATAAATTTAGAGATCTAATTAGTTTTATTCATAAATCTTGCTGCATCTGACCAAGCAAGTAGAAAGACTCTGCAAGCAGCTTGTACAAATTGGAAGGTTTTATTTATTTTTCTTATTCCTCCTCCCTTCCCCCAAGGTTTTTACAGTTAGAAAGAGGTTAGGACAAGGTTATTAAGAAAAGAAAAAAAGATTACTTCAGGCAAAGATACCTTGTCTCAAGGGCAAGAAGTTCTTATCATGCAGATTATTTCACTAGTGCTGATTTGGGAAGATTACATTTTTGGGAGAAGTTGAAACTGCCATTGGTTAGGTATTAAGTGTAGTGGGGTTTGACTCCATTTTTTTTTAAAGGGAAGTTTCCTCAAAAAATTGAAAAGAGAAATACCATATGACACAGAAGCCTATGTATATATTTGAAAGAAATGAAAATCACTCTTTTGAAGAGATATATACATGTACCACCTTTGACCTCACTAATTAGAAATAAAAAAATCTTGGTAGTGTTAGAGACCACCCTGTTACAGTAGTAGTCAGCTATTTAATAACACTGAAAAGGTAGCTGAAACCTGAAGGCCTTTCTCCATGGTAGTGTTGTTCTCTAGTGCAGTGCTTTCTACTTTTTTTATGTGCATATGAAATACCCAGGAATCTGATTAAAATGCAGATTTGAGTCAGGTCTGTGACATCAAGATTCTGCATGTGTAACAAGTTCCTAGGTGATCAGGCCATACTTATGCTGCTAATGCATGGATCTCACTGTGAGTACTGAGTTACATACTTTTTATGAAAGATGTGGCTAAACTGTGGTCAGTAGTTAAAGAGGACTTTGGGGAGCAGGCTAAGGAGTGTAGGATTTGGAGAAAAAGAGGGTAATAGAAACTGATAATAATGACAGATGACACCTGCTTGGATTATGAAAAACATGCTATGCTGACTAACTGGGAAACCTGTTTGTATTTTACAAGGATTCAATTTCCTTGTCTATAAATATAAAATAAAGGAGATGAATTAGATGGTTCTGTTTTCTAATCTGAGGATTCACATACCAGGGCTCTTCAAATGTGGTAATAGGAGATGAAGTGATTTTCAGTCATTTGGAAAGCACATATTTACTCATGATAAGGCCCTTAATAAAAATTTACTCTGTGATGTCCATTTAGGCAAAAAGATGTTTTTTTTCAGTTACATCGAAAAGGGCAGGTTTATTATAAAAAGGGAGAGAAAAATAAAGGACAATTGCATAGACACAAATGGACAGAAAGAGCTGTCCTTGAAAAAGACAGGTTTGCTAAAAGAGAGCTCTATATAGTTACAGGTGGGCAGCTTTGGGAGGAGAGTACCTCTGCTGCTTTGCAAAGGGAGGTCAGTGAAGAGAAACACCAGCATAGTCACAGGTGGGCAAAAGGTCTGCTGTTAGGCAAAGTTTTGATAGTTAGAAACCCAAACCAAAATCTTGGCAACTTCCAAAATAGTGAAGATCTAAGTCCTTATAGATCAGAAATTACCTTATATTAAAGTAAACTCACTGTGACTCTGACTTTTTAAGATTGAATAGAAAAGATTTTTCATATGCACTGAAGATCTTTTTCTTTGAATACTCTATAGTAGATTCTTATGACCCCTGAAGCTGAGAACCTTCCAGAATTTTAAATCTTTTAGACTAGCAAGAATATAATCTTGTTTTCGCCAACTCTAAAATGGAGATAAAAATGTTTACAGATCAGTAGGATTGGATTTAGGAAGGACAAAGACTTTTTTGAATTTCAAATTTGGGCCAGATTAGTTAGGTTCCTTTTTAGCACAACTCAGCTCAACTGAGTTCCTGGTTTACCCAATGTCTCAGCAAAGATGAAATTCTTAATGTCAGGAATGTATTTGTTTTGAAATCTTGAATTAGAATCTGTAAATGTTAGTATTTAACTTTCTTTTAACTTGTTTTAAACATTAAGAGCATAAATATTAGATAATAATCAGTTGCTAGAATCCAGTTGTATCTTTATAGGTCAGTTTTTCTCAAAATATCTAAGTTTTCTCATCTGAGGGTAGGCTTCTGAGGTGGAAGGTGACTGTACTTTGACTTGTGAAAAAAAGGACCAACTTACTTTACTTTTTGGACACTCAATCAGGTTGCCTAGGTTAAACTCAATCTTATAGGATCCTCTTATCAAATCACCCTCTACCACTGGATCTAAAATTCTCATTGGCTTTGACCAAAATGTAGTACAGAAAACCAATCTAGTTAAAAAGATGACAAATTAGCTGATAAATTTTGTTGGTAGAATTTGTACTACACAATGGGGAAGTTAATGTCTGCCTGAACGTTTTAGACTTACAATAATTCACAAGTGTTCCTGGACTTAGAAACAAAATACCCATAACTCTTTTATAAGCTTATTGGCCCCCACTGCAGATTTTTTAACAAAACAAAACATAAGCCTAATATCTTTATATGAAAGGTTATTTAAAATTCCTTGCCAGGCTTACAAATTGGGTCAATAACTGTTATTTACTCAAGGATAAAAAGGTTAACGAAATTGTAAATATTTTAAAATTAAGTCTAAAAATTAGCCCACGAAAGTGTCTTCTAGAATTAAAACTAGAAATGGCATTAACTTTCTTACTAATTTTCGGGTTGTCCTAGAATTAGAGAAAGCCAGGCCACTTTGACTTTGAATTCAAAGACCTTTGGTATAATCTCACATATTTTTTCAAAAATAAAGACAAGCCCTACAATAATAAAAATGTCCATTACAGAAACTGTAATTATAAGATCAAGAAATCCTTTTTCTTCTTTTTTCCCCCTTCTTCTTTGTATCGGGGTTGCTCTACAACATTGTTATAGTTGATGTTAAATACAGCAACACGAAAACCAATAATGTCCAATTTTTAGTCACTCTTTTGTCTCTGTTCAGGCCCACTATTCTTAATAGTATTGTTATTTATCTTTTTTGGTCACATTCGGGAGACAGAGAATTAACCTTAACTTTCTACTGTTTCCGTCAACACTAAGTATAAAATCTACCATATCCTTATTTAGCGCGTATTCTTTTTTTTTAAACAAGGTAAATAAATGTAAATAAATGTACATTTAACAAGGTACGTTTTTCTAGCTGAAAGCCACCACCGCAGCTTGCAGTGCGTTGTGAGCTGCAGACCACTCCCAAAACATCTTTATCTCTTCCGTGGCCATTCTGGGTTAAGGCATGCACATTCTACATCTGTGTAACCAAAGAGAGGTGGTTTTGGGGATGGGGTGGGTGGGAGAAAGAGGTACCCCAAATTTATAGCAAAGAATACCAGCATGCAAAAACATCCATCCTCTGTCCACACCCACCCAGTCACAGTCGGTCATTCTTGATCTCTTCCTTGTTTATTTTTTCGGTAAACGTAGTCTTTTTCTTGCAGCGAATGGCAATTAAGGCTGGCGAGCTCCCAGGGAGGCGTCCCCTTTTTCTTTCTTTCTTTTCTTTTTTTTTTTTTTCCACCACAGCCAGTCAAAGCAGCAAAGCGAAGGTGAACCGTCGGCTGAATCAATGTGTATACACGAATCCACCTAATCCAGGGAGCAGTCCTCGGGTTGAAATTTCACGGGGTGAAACCGCGAAGCCATTCACGGAGTTGTAGCTGCCCGTGTCCATGGCAACCGGCCGCGGCGCCGCTCCAGCGCCGGGGCCCGGATGTTGTGAGGCTCGCGGCGGCCGGGCCCCCGCTTCCTCCAGCCTCGGGCGGCGGGCCGCGCGCCGCCTCGGGAGTCGTAGTTCTTCCTGCCGCCGCCGCCGGGTCTGAGGCGCCGCAAGGACTGCGAGTCCCGGCATGCCCCGCGGCGCCCCGCCGGCCGCCGCCTCCCGGCTTGCGGACGCCCGCGAGCAGGTTGTTGTTTTTATGCGAGGCGTCACTGCGCCGGGAGCTGCGACCCGCGCCACCGCGACAGCTCGCGCGGCCGGGCGGAGGTGGCGCTGCCCCGTCAGGTACGGCTTGGGGCGGGTTCGGGTCCCGGCAGCGGAGTCGCGGCTGCGGGTCCGGGCCCTGGCCGGGACTCGCGACGCCGCTGCCTAGCGGGGGCGGTCGCGGGGTCCCTGAGCCGGGGGGCGACTGACCCCCCGCGGCTGGAGGGTGCGGGCGCGCGGGGTGGGGGCTCGGGGGAGCGCGAGTCGCGGCCCCCTTGGTCCCGCCGTCCCCCGGCCCCGCCCGCAGACCCCAGGGGTGTGGAGGCGCCGGCCGCCCGGGGGACCCTGCCGCCCCCGCCGGGCCGGGGTGAGGGGAGGGCGTCCCTGGGCTGAGGACGGGGCGCCCCATATGGTAGGCTGTGGCGCGCGCGTCCTCCCGCCGGGGTGCAGCCGGCCCATAAGATTCGGTGACGTTTGAGGTCCGGGATGCCAGGGATAGAAACGATACATTTATTTTTTATTTAAAACGCAGCGGAGGTTTCTGCGAGTTACTCCATGCTAGCAATGACCCGAGCCCCTTCCCTGCCTCGCTCCTGCTCCCTCGGCCCCGGCACGGGGGTCTTCGGGGTCCCCGGGCGGCAGCTGCCCAAACAGCGCGTTCTGCGCGGGAGGTGTTTGTCTCTGCCTGATGAATCCAGCTGCTGGCCGTGGGGAGAGCCAATTTTAACGCCCTCGGCCAATTAAGTGGAGGTGCTTCGTTGACTGGGTGTAATTTGCACTGCTCCCCACTAACTTTATTAAAAAAAACCGGAATGTTGGATGCCCTTGTAGCTGCAGTAGGTAACTCCTTTAGTACTGCAAATTTGAAGATGTGCCTCCTCCAGGAGGGTCACATTCCCTAGATAGTGCTGGAAATGCAAGTATCTTGTCTTCGACTGTAGCTTTGAATCTTATTAGGCCCCTTACATCTCAGGGGGATATTTATCGCATCTTGCACGCCAGTGTAAATGGTTTATTATTCCTTGCTGAGCTCTGTTCTTGAAGTGGAAGGGGTAAAGTGAGGTTTTATTTAATAATTTTGAAACTTTTGTTTTAATGGTCTTGTTATTGAAGTAATGTTGGTTTATGACACTATTTGATTTGGAGGTACAGACTCACACCTATTTAGATGTAGGTTACCACGCCACCAAAAGGATATATTTTAATGCATAATTTTTTAAAGTTTTTACTCGAAGAATGGGATTCTAATTTAAAAAGCTAGTAACATGCTTCCTGTAATGTTAAAGGGTATGGAAAATACAAATTTTAAAATGAAAACGGTATAGGAAATCTTGCAAGCCGGTTTTTAAACTATGGAGCTAGAAGTGATTATATATTCGAGTAGAAATAAGATTCAGAGGATAGTTACAATTATAAAAGTGATTAGATGGTGCAACTAGAAATGCTTTTTTATACTTTTGGAGATTTTATTCAGATTTTCTATAGAAGACATTTAATTTTTATAAAGGATACAGGTGCAGCAATTCCAGTTATATAGACTCTTTAAATATTGTTTTAAAAAAGCAAGCTAGCGACATCAAACATATGGTATAGCCCATTACCTCATCCACAGATGATATAAATGACAAATGTAAGGTATTTGTGGAAAAGGGAAAAGAAAAGCATAGCTGGGCTGAGGAAAAAACATAATAATTGGTACCATTTGTACATCTCATCTTATTTTTGATGTATATTTTTTCTCTTTGTACTGTAAAACCAAGCAAAAATATTTAGCCTTTCTTCAGTTAAGATAGTGCTTCATTATTCCTATTAACTCCACAAGACGAAAGATGGGCTTACTAATGGGAAGTGATACAGATTTAAAATTTTTTATTTGTAAACATTTGCCAATGGAAATAAAGCTGTTAAGCAATTATAAAGTGAAGTGTTTCAAACTTAATTTGCATTGAATCCCTGTGTCTTCTATGTCTTATATTTTGGATTATGTTCATTTTTGTTACGGATTTTGTTTTGATTATGCATATGATGTATAAGGGTGGGAAAGTAGCATATTTAGCCCACATTTTGTTTTCTCTCCTCAAGAAAGGCTGCATTGTTATTCTATGCCAGTGTTCTATGCATTTTTGCACTTAGCAGTCTTGGAAAATTGGGACTTACCTTTAGTCCAGATGTGTTACCTTTTAATAAAATACCCACTCTGAAGCTCTGTGAGGTTACAGTGTTTTCTCAGGTTGTCTTTGTAACTTTGCTCCTCTCCCAAATTTCAATTTCTTTTCAGTATTTACTGTGTTTTAAATTTATATATTTCGTGTACTGTGTTGGCTCAGTATTTCATTAGATATTTGGGGGCAGTTTCAGGACAGAAGAAAGATTCATAATTCATTTGCTTGTCTTACTCATATGTTCCATAGCACTGTTGTCTAGGTTGTGTAATTGTATACTTATTTAGGTTAAAGAGTAAGAATTTGGTATGAACTGCTAAGATCACAGAAGTAGAAACTTTTGCACATGTAAAGAATAATGGACTCAAGCAAAGCATGTTAAGCCCTGGGTATTTTAAAACTGAAAATGCAGACTCATCTAACAAAGCAGAACTACTAGACACTGAATTGTTTTTGTGTTTGTGTGTGGTTAAGGTGAGGAAATTGCCATATTATAAGTGATAACTTACATTTTCAAAATTTTCTTCCTGGCAGTAATGCAGTTTTGTCTAAATTAAAACAATTAAAAAATATATGAGTTAGTTTCAAAGGTCATAAGGTCATGCCCAATGTATTGCATCAGATAGAATTGAAAAAAAAAAATTCTCAACTTGAGATCTAAGATGAAATTTAGCTTTATAATGTGGGGAGAATTGCAAATTATAAATTTTTTCAGGACATTTAATGTGTGAAAACTTGCTCAGGGACATGTAGGATTTTCTGAAAGAAGTATTAGGAAAAAAGTTAGGTGAGTTAAAAGTTTCCTTCTGTTATTTGTGGAAAGTTAAATCTGATTTTTCTTTAGCTCCTGTCCATAAATCATTACCCTAAAACCTTCTGGATCATCTTGCTGGGATGATGAATGTAAAATGAATTGGAGTCAGAATGTTTAATGATGTTGAGCAACTATTAACTTAGGAGCCTCTGTTGTTTCCATTTGTACATTGTAATAGCCAGTTGCCCTAATTCTTGTGGGATTTGTGAAGATCAAATCAAAAGTGAAAATGAGACCACTTTGTAAGTGGCAGAGTGATTTACCTCCTGTCAAGTATTGTTGGCTTGCATAAATAATATTTACATAAAGCAAATTGTATGTTTGAAGTATAGTGTCTTAATGTGTTTTGACTGAGTAGCTTGAGAGATGAAAAATGGGATCTTCACTTGAATTTTTGGTAGAGATTTTTGACTTTTTCTAGTTGAGGGAAACCTGGCCCTTTCTTGACTGTGGCTTGGAACTGTACTACATTAGAGATGCTGAAAACTGCATGTACTCTTATGTTCGGGTTTTTAATTTTGGTTTTGTTGTTTGTTTTAATTGTACATCTAAAGCATAAGGAAGACCATCTGTTGACCTTAACAGTAGGGTGTGGATGTTTTTAAATTTTTTAAAGTAAATATTTTATTTTCTTGGTCTCTAGATTAATTTTTTAAGTTGAGGTAACATTGGCACTGTCTAATGATTCAGGGGCATATGTTCACATTTCCTCAGATGTACATCACCACTTGTTTTTAATGTTCTAAAGTGATGTTTTAAGTTGATGTCATGAATCGTGAGATTACACTGGATATAATACCTTACATCCTCCAAGTGATACGTTGCTTTTGTAAGCACTGGACTTTCTTCAGAAGAAATAGTTTAGAGTTTATACACCTTCTGGGAAAATCAACTGCCTTTTATAGCATCTAATCCTTGAGACTAACTTCAAGTTAGACTGACATGTAGAACACTTAGTAAAAGTCTTAGAAACTTCTGAGGTCTGAGAATTGTTTAAAAAAAAAAAATTCAACTGAGCAAATTAAGAGACCTAGTAGACTTAACAAATGATTGTCCAAACAGGCAGCATCCTATCTATCAAGAAGAAAGGTGTGGTACAAATTGAAAGTTTTCATAGTTAGAAAGACAAGGTTATTAGCAAAAGAAGAGAAAGATTATTATTCATCCTCTCCGACAAACAAACTAACAAACAAAACCCAACTTTCTGGATAAAGCAGGGGGCATCTTATGCAGATTACTTCATTACCCTTGACCTCAACATTCCAGTTAAGTTGCTTTAAAACTTCAGTTTTGGGAGAGACTGAAACTGCTGTTAGGTGTTAGGTATTAAGTTTTGATGGGACTTGGCATAAATGACTCCATTTAAAACCTGTTGTTTCTTTTTTTTAGCCAGAAAATATAAGTAGATGAAAGTAAAAGTAAAGAAATAGCTGTATCATGGCTTGGTAATGACTGCTTTTGTGATTGTTAGCTCAGATAACATCTTTATACCAACACTTTATCTACTGTTACAGCTAGAAATTAATAGTGGATGTTTATCTAATTATTTGTTCTGTAATAAGGAATGCTAAGTTTAAAAACTGGAAAACAATAAAAATGTACAGAATCTCTTTGTTTTCCACTTTACTAGCTTCCTCCTCCTGCCCTTCCCCTTCTCCTCCCCCCCCCCCAAGAAGTAAGAGACAGTTGTGAAATATTGGGGCTAATTACTCTATTGTGAAGAGTAGTTAAAATAAAAAAGGTAGATATATGAATAGTATATTTTTGACAAGTGAAACTAATTTAAAAGTTTGAGAATT